GAATATTGAACACTCTGGAGCTGAAATTAGGGTGGTGTTAATTAGCTGTAATTGGTCACAGAGATGGCAGGGAATTCTGAACACTTTATTAGCCCATTAGCAAATGTAGATTCCTGGGTAATCAATCTTTAGGACTAAAATAATCTTAAATTATTTAGTAACATTTGCCAATTAAAATATATAATCCAGTTATGTGTACAAGCAATGCGTGAAATACATTCATGAATTATGAAGCCAATTAACAAGGTGTATTTTCTAACACAAAGGATGGGAGAAATAACAAACTGTTGCAAAGCGCACGTCAAACCAAAACGAATCTTTTTTCCGCATTTCTGAAAATTCTGAAAATGCGTAAGAGAACTTCCAAAGCAATATGTTACTCATTGCATATTCATACACACTGCATACTGCATGAGATTCATAGTTTCTTATCTCAGGATTTTGTAATGCATGTCACCTTCATACCACATTAGAAATATTTCACTCATGTCTATAGTTGTACAATACCACATGATAGGAATGCAAGCTTTCATTTCTTTCCTCAAAGGAACGAACATAACACACTAAAGTGAAACACTGCAAAATTTAATTTCCTTCTTCTGGTTAGGTAGCACAGGGGCAAATCTTTCAGCACTGATCTAATTCTTGGCTCATGCTTTCCTCAAATTCCACTGCCAAAGCTGACTTGCAAATCCGGTCTCTGTTCTAACCTCTGAACAAACTGCCACATGAGCACTGAGCAGGCACAGCTTTGCACATGCACCCCCATAAACCAGAGTCCTCCTGCAATATTTTCTATCATAACCAGCACCTCCTGAATACTATAGAGTACTATAGAATTTACAGTAATCATGTTCTGGATGTGTAAAATTCCACAAAATAAATCTTTCTATGAGTAGAGCTTGAATTCATGGTATCAAACTTCAGCTACCTAAAACCTAAGCATTATCCTCCCTCAGGCTCCCTCAGTTCTAAAGGCTCCTTTTCAGACAGTGAATAGAAAGCCTCCCCCCACCCAGTAATTTACCACATCTATTTTGAGATGAAACCAAACACTTCATTTTCATATAGTTAGTCATGGGACAAATTTCATCTTGTATAAATTGTCAAAATTCCCAAACTTGGTAGTTTACTTCTAAAAGAACATGAAAATATAATAATCAAGAATCAAAATCCATGGGCTGGCGTCCTGTTATTATAGAGGCAACACAAAGTTTATACTGATAAATAAAAGAATCCATAAGAGCTAAAATATATACACTAATACTATACATAATTTTTTTTGAATTTTAAGATAATGAGAGCAAAATTGTTAATTGTTCAAATAAGAAAACAGTGCTTGAGTTCAAGTCTAAAATCCTTCTTACTCTGCTGAGGTCAATTCTGTTGTGTTTCTACTTAGCTCCATGAATCTTTGTGTAAACTAAAGGTGCATCTAAATAAACTCATAGTTTAGGGCGTGGAACTTTAGAGGCTAGCAGCTCTGTAGTGTGATCAGGAGGAACAAATCTGTGTATATTCCTCAGCCACATGGTTCCCAGCCTGGTTTACTATGATGTCAACCGGCTGCTGTTTTCTGCTGCAGTCAGTCCTGTGCAGTACAGTCACTACTAGCAGCTCTGCTACGGAGATGGTCACTTCTGGCACAGAAACATAGTGGGAGTCTCTGGGGGGAGCCCGTAGGTCAGAACCAGCCCCAGTGTGGAGGTGTGTGGCACTTTACCCGTCTGTCCCAGAGCTCTCCCAACTCAGGTCCTTGCTTCCCACAAATCTGGCAAAGGGCTGGCTCTGCAGATGTGCACAGTATGCTTTTAAGTCATCTCACCAGGAATCACTGTGAAAGACTTGCACAGAAATCAACAGGCTTAACTGTTTGAATGAGTGAGTGCAATCCTGACTACAAAGGTCCACGAATCCACTCCTCACATGCGAGGATGGAAGAATCTGCCTTTTGGTTGTCTTTGTGTCTCCACAGAGATCTCTGGCTAGGTGCTTTCTAAATACCTTATGTGATTCTAACAGACATTTCAATGAAATCTTGCAGTCACATAGATGTTGATCAGCAGGCATTTGTAAAGTTGATCTAGTGCAACCCCTCTCAGTGAGGGACTATTGCCAACACTGGATCTGGTCAGCCATGGCCACCTGGCCAAGTCTTGAACACAACCAAGGATGGATAATCTGCAGCCCCTCTAGGCAACCTGTTTGAGTGCTGCATTACCTTCCTGGTAGAGGGTAGACTTCCCCCGCAGTGTTCAGCATGAACCTCTCAGGCAGCAATTTCTGGCCATATCCCCCTTGTTATATCACCTGATACAACAAGGGCATTATCTTGGCAAATGTCTTCTGCCACCTTTGCAACTGCCCTTCAAAAAGCTTCAGGATGCTCTTAGGTCACCCCTCAGTTTCCTCTTCTGTAGACTAACAAAGTTCAGCTCTCTCAGCTTGCCTCATTCATATGCTATGCATACTTTCTAAACTTGAACTTCATGGAAATTCAGGTAAAGAAATGGGAAAGAAATTGAAAGCACTGACTTATGAAAGGCAAGTGTTATTTACGGAAAAATATACGCTGAATATTCTGTGTTTTATAGATTAAAAATATACAGTTGAATATAATTTCTTTGGTTATCTTTAATTTGCATTTAAAAACTAGGAAATTAATTTTAATCATGCTTGCAAAACTAAACTTGCAGTCCTGAAAATAACTCTTCACTTTTTTTATGCAGTACTGGTTGTTCAAAGAGCAGTGTCAAACCCAAGAGAAAATACCGCTGGGGTTTAGATGTAAGGAGTCACTTAAAAATATGCTCCAAATTTTACTCTCTATATGAAAAGATGGCATTACCTCTACTGGAGGCAAAGGGCCAAACTGTCAGTGGGTGAAAATCATTCTAGTATCAATAATGCCAGCCAAGTGGTCCTATACGAAATCTCCAGCTATTTTCATGCAATTTTTTATAAATCAGTGGGTTTCACCTGGAAAAAATCAGCCTGAGTAGGAACTCAGGAGTTGAAACCCAGGGGTCATGATAAGAGCTATGTAGGCATTTGTTATATTTATGTAAATAAAGAAAACAGTTTAATAAATCCTGGTCTGAAGGAGCACAGCAGGTCCTTCTCTTAATATTTCACCATTGAGACTTGATTTAAATGCTGGCTTAATTAATCACTTAGGAACAGAAATATCTTTGGGAAGGAAAAGAAACAAACTCATGAACTCAAAATACTAAAGTATCATCTCTCAGAGATCTCCAGAAAATATGAACTCACCCTGCAGATTAAATTTTACATTTTTTTTATTTCTACGGCCTGGCCTGAAAATGTCAGTTTCCATCAACACCTTTGGGATTTAAGCTCATTTAACCAATACAACATGAACATCAGATTTCTACCTGCTTAGAAAGTTTCCTTCAGTCTCCAGCACGAATACAGATTCTTATTGCTTAACATTACCCTGACTAGTATAGCGAGCACGCATGAACTGACAGCCAGCTCAGGAATCACTTAGTTTAGGAGTTTTGCCTAAGTTAGGCCATGGTTCCTGACTGCTTATTGAAAACATATTAAGAACTTGATTGACTGACTGATTGATAGTTAATATAGAAAATTAAAAGCAGAATATGATGATTTCTGTCTCTTCGTTTACATCTATGTTGTAAGATTAAGTGTGTTGTGTACAAATTAAAATCTGATGCCTGTTTTGCGAGAATCAATCAAAAGGAATTTTATGTTTTGCTGTGACTCAAGTGAATTCCTTCTGAAAACAAAGACAAATGAGAAGCAAAAAATTTGAGAGGTTTGTAATACATTTTCTCCACATTTCAAGCTTCTGTGTCATCCATTGATCCAGGATTGGTCAGTTCCTTCCAAGCTCTATGTACGTCTCAAAAGCTTTTAAAGTAAATCTTGAGGTCAATATTGATATATAGCAGGACAAAAATCTATGGATTTATCAGCAAACTAATAAAGTCTAGGAAATTAACTTTGAAACATCAACTCAATTTGTTTTGAATTAAAAGGCTGAAGTCTGAATTTCAGTTTCTAGTTAATTATTGTGACAGATGTGATAACTTTAGATCTAGAGTTCTTATTTAAGAAAGAAAAGGACTCTAATACTTTGTTTTCTGCTTCACTTACATGTTTCCAGTCATTACAGCCTGATTACTTCACAAAAGTTTTGCTGCCAAAGTGGCTTGCTGAACGTTATGAACCCTTTACAAACATAAGTAGTTAATACATTTTATTTTCCTTTATATATCATTGCGAGACACAAGGCATAAAAATCAAGCAGCAATGAGGTAATTTCTATTCCCCATTCCTTTTTTCCCATTCCTCAACCACGATCACAGCCCTTGTACCACACACCTCATTTTCACCTTTGCCTCAGTAACCAATATGTACCCTAAAACTTGATCTTGTCGAGTCAGTCTTGCCAAGTGTTAAACTCAGCTTGAATTATTGCCTCAATAAAGGTGTGTCTTAGCAGATGTTAAGAATATGGTCCTCTGTGCTGATAGTTTTTGAAGATGAATTTAGGGTTAGCATGTTTAGAAATGATCTTTTGCATATTTTCCGTCATTGAACCGTGTAAGCAGATGTCAGAAGACTCAGGGCAACTATGAAAGATTTTAAAATAAATTTCAGAAAATGTGAATTAATAATTAATTTTATTTTTCTTGAAATAATTTTATATAGAAATTGCAAAACAGAAATCTGACCACACGTGCTCATATACTTATTATATTACTGTCAGCATACATATTTTCCAGGATGAGGATGGGCTGAAAAATGGAGAGATTTAAATTATAAAGATGTATGAAGTGTAAACTTATAAGTTCTGACATTTCCTACAAGATCTCTTCTCTTGGTAAACTCAGCAGAGACACAGTGCTGGCTCCAAAAAGGTGAGAAACATGCAAATTTACATAATACACACTCCTTAATAAATTTTTAAATTTTAATATAAAAGACATCAAACAGAATATGCTGAATTTTACCTGCAAAGGCTTTGTAATCCACCAAGTCAAACATTACAATAGCTACTGCTGACCAGGTAACAATCAGAGCAATAACAAGGAGCCATGCTGCTGGTGAGCTGAACGTTGTCACGAGGTCTTCCGTAACTGATTTCTTGCCCACTTTCATGGATGATGAGGGAACGGATCCGTTCTTACCATCTATTATTGTCGTGGTTGTAGACATGCGTCCTAGGCAAATAATCAAAGTAGAGGAAATAGAATGTAACACTTGGAGCATAAAAATCAAGAATATGAATGTTGTTTTGAAATCCTTTAGTACTCAGAATATTTAAAATAAATGTAAATATTGCATTATTAAAGAGAAGTTCTTGTGTTTTCTGGAAGGAGATTTTCCTGACCTGAGGCCACTTTTAGTAAAGTTAATTTGGGAGCAAACACGGTAAAATAGCCACAACTGGTCTTTTTGATTATATGACATTTTTTAGTCTGCCATGAATAGCTACAGACATAGGAGAGTGATTGATGAAAGCATAAAATATTATTACTCTCCAAAGAACTGTCTTGTTATGGGCTGTAGGCCAGACTCTCAGGTGATGTGATTAAGCATACTTCCATTGACTGTAATGGAACTAATGCGTCTACACCACTCTAGGTTTGGCTGGACTTCTGCTGAAAGCGATAACCCAAACAATCTTGGTTGGTATTTCTTTCCCAGTATATACAATAAAAATAGTAAAAATATTCATAACTCTGCAGTCAACAACAGAAGAAGAGCACGGTACTGCCACTTAGTTTACAATATCTGCTTGTAAGCTATTGATAAAGTATTAAAAGATATGTTACATGTGTTCCTGGTCTGGTTGATGACACCAACTCTCATAAATTAATGTCAGTGATTTCAGGGACCCTTACTCACAGAGATCTGAAATTTCAAGGAATAAGGTGATACCTGGTTTATTCATACCTTTGCTTCTCACCCTAAGATCACCTATTTTCTGTCACTACTGATATAACCTATAAAGCTGATAATTTTCTAGGATGAGCGAGTTAAGGAAAGTGACAGAGTTGCTCTATACAAACATAAACAGATTTAGTTTCACTTTTCACATAGAAAATGGCAAATATGCCTTTGGAAACTTATCAGTAGAGCTAAGGTATAAGGCTGTTGAAGACTTTCAGGTACTTGCCACCACAACACGTATGTAGCCTCTATTTGAGAATCACTGTATTGATATTCTTAAAGAAATAAATGAAGAATTAGGTCCTTGATATTACCCATAGGTAAATATTTATACCTAAAGGAAAAAAAAAAAAAAAGTTGGCATAACAAGTCTTCTAATCTTCATGGTAATGAATATTGATTGACTTTGTTTCTTTTTTTGCAGAAAATGAGAAAGATACTCTAAAGTGATACTGAAATGACCTTTATGTATCTCACATACATCTGTAGAACAGCGAAGGACAATTCTTGTATTAGAGGTTCCCTAACTCTTAACCTGTCATATCTGTAGAGTGTTCAAATTCATACCCTGAATGATTCTACATTTCTTTATTTATTATGTATGTATGTAGTGCATTGCATTTGTGTGTATTTCCCTTAATTCTACCTTCTAAGCTTCCTTCTGCACAAGCATCCTGACACTGATCGGTGCCTTGTTTCAAGCCCCAGAAAGCTGCTCTGCTAAACAGCAATGTTGTATAAGCAGAACAAGATTGACATATTACATGTTTTTTGTTACTTATTTGAAATTTACTCTTATTTATAGAATGTTTATTCTGCTTATGAATAATGTCTATCTACTGGGATAGAATTTAAGCTCTTTTTTTTAAAATATATATTATAAAACTACCACTGTTTCCATTTCTCCAAACATAAATTTTGAATCAAACATTTCACAGCAGGAGGAAAAAATCTGCCAAGTAACAACTAGCAATAAAGATCAGTTTCCTAAAGTCAAATTCAAAATCAATAGCATTTTGTTACCCTACTGCATAAAAAAATGCAAGTGATTTGTGCATACAACAGGTCATAAATGACACATTATGCATTTTTTTTCCCTTGGGGATATCAGTCAGAGTTTATGATGTGTAAAAGAGAAAAGTACTGTCTCATCTTGACAAATCTGATTAGTATCACAGCATATCTCCAAGGACATAGTAATGGCAGATATTTGCACAGTTATAATACAAGCAATTAAAACTCTATGTGTGTATATAGATATAGACATAGACATATAATTACCATTCAAAGGATCATCCCTCTCGGTCTGTTGCTATGTAAAAATAGTTCCTTTCTATTTAGTATACCTAACTTTTCAAATTCAGACTGCTATATGCCTTCTTTGGTGATGAAAATAGTTTCCCATAATTTATCAATATCTGACCAACACTGCAGAGACAAAGCTCAAGTATGCTAAGAAGGTTATCTATTGCATGCCTTTGGCTTTTGATGTAGCCGGGTCAGATTTCCCCTTAAAAACTCAGAATGTTATACAATAAAATCACCACAGTTACATTCATTGAATGGAGTTAACAGCTATTGATGCAAATTTGCCTGGAAATGAAGCTAAGAAAAATACTGCTATACTGCTAGAGTTCCCAATGCAGGTGTTAGCAGTATGATTCAGGTGCCCAAGACAGGTCTCCACTGTTGTTATAGGTGCTTTATGGTATCAGAGACATCCTCACAGGATTGGCAGGCATCATCTACAGGACAGTAACTTCTGTTCTGGGAGGAACCCAGACAGGATGCCCTAAACCACTGAAAACAGAAATTAGGTTTTTATGTCACTAGACACTAATACAAACAAAATTGGCCGGACTCCTGAGGAAGGCATTGCTTTGCACTACATTATCTCGCATGGGTTGGATTGTATATTGATACCATTATAATTTCATGACTTCAAAAAGAAGAGGCAATAACCCCAAGATGATTGCCCTCCCTCCTACAACTACTCTGTTGTTGCGGTACCCATGGTGCTATCCTGATGTTTTCTCTAACTGGTCCTTGCTTCCAGTGCTCAGGTGTTATGTGTGTTTTTGTCCATCTCCTACCAGTGATAACCTCCTCACTAAAACCACAGTGATGCTATTTACACAGATAGACCAGTAGAGAAAGAAGGGACCTACACATGGACAATATTTCCATCAATTCAGCCTGCAGCCATTCTATTTTTCAGAAAAGCACCAAAGTTAAGCAGAGCTCCTGCCCAAGAGGTCATTGAGGCTTCAGGTGCCCAGTGGGAGAATGAGAAAAACAGGCATTTTTTGTGCTTTGAAATCACCTGATTAAGCCTATCAATTTTTACTTTTACAATTGACAGGGGCATTCAGTAACAGGTTAAAATCAGATTCCTGAACTTCTCCAGACATCCTTGCTGCCCATATAATACACATTTTCTCTGCCAAGACAAATTTCACTGTCTGTATGACATCCAAGCAGAATCCAAGCCAGTTTACTTTAGTATACTTCGATGAACAGTGCAGTGGATCAGGAGATTCATGAGCAGATCAGTTGTCCCTGCTTTGGGGGAGGCGACATCTGTCATAGGAGTGGAGGGTGCAGCTGAAGGCTGTTACATTTTCAGCCATCCAATTTTAATCCACCACCACATGTCTGCTAGAGCCTCCTGGCACTTTGGGTTGTGATTGCTATTGATTTTCAATGAAGATGGGAACTTTAAAAAGTCATATGTACATTTCTATAAAAAGATTACTCCGGGGATATATACCTCTGACTCCACATAACAATTTCTCATGCACACAGAACTACCCCATCAGGTCACAAATGTCACCTCTACATCAACAGATTGATTTTCTAAATTCCAAACAGCTAAAACTCTGAGATTGTTACTATTCCTCTGGTTTCAGAGTTGTCACTTAGGATACAATCTGAAGACCCACAAGGTCTCATAAGTATAAATAAACCTTGACAATTGGTGACAACTTTGAGGAGAACACCTTGCGACTTTCAGTGTCCAGAGTGAGCTTGTAGTCCTGGCAGCTTAGATAAAATACCCTTTGTATTTGTGAGTTGAACTTTCCTTAAGGCATAATAAGCATAGGAATCCATGGTTAAGCATGGGCACTTGATTTTACAGTTCAGCAACTACACCTGCCACTACCTCAGAAGAAAAACAAAACAAAAAACCCAAACCAAACGAAAAAATACCCCTACTCCATTCAGACTCATTCAAATGTAATTTATTTATGTATTTATGTTATTTCATAGTTATTTTATGTATAACAGCCCTCGTTCTGCCATTAGCAAAAAAAAAAATTTAATATCGAGTGAAATATTTAATGTGCAGTGCCTGGGCATATTAAAAGCAGAGGGCTAGTCATGCTACTAAAAAAAGAGGTTGTTCTCTTTAAAATAATAATATCGTTGCTAGGGCAATTCAGTTGGGATGTGAGAAGCCTCAGTGCAGCCCACTCTAAATGAAAGAGCTGGTAGATTTTGACTTGTCTGTTCCACTCCCCAAATGAACACTCCAATAAATAGACTATAGAGTATTCTGGATTCAGGTCATTAATGGCTCCTGTTCGACCTATTCCACTTCACTTGGAATATTTAAATACTAATTAAGGGAGCAGAAAAGAGAAAGAATGACTGTATAAATCGACACTGTATGTTAAGCACCAGCTTGAGCCTTGGGCTTTAACCTGGTGACCTTATCAATCCACCGCTGTTGCGATCAGGCAGGCAGGAGTCTCGGCCTACGGTAAGGAGAGTACCACAGGGAGAAGAGGACAAGGAATCAGAACCCTTCATTGAAGGACTGAGCAACAGATATACGATAATCATCTGCTGCATTTTTTCAGGCCCAGCACATCACCCTTAGTGAGTCTACAGACATCTGCAGCTCTCATAATAATCACTCATTTTCCCATGTGGCGACAATGCTTTCTAACACGAGAAAAGTCTATACCTGTGCCTGTTGTTCAGGTCGTACTTATGCCTGACTGTGGCATCCTCCTCTTTTCATCTCTCTTCTATGGTTTCTGCACCCTTGGCTCATAAAAATGGAAAGCAAAAGACAGAATTTCCGCTGTGGTTAAGAATTAGCAGCTTGCAATAAAATATCAGTAACAATATTCTTTCCTGAAGTGGTCTGATGACTTTTGTCCAGAAAGCTTTTGCCTCATCACAAGCATGGAGCCAATTTCCCAGCGCTTCCATAGGCACAGGGAGTTGAAAACTCTTCACTGGATTCATGCTTT